AAAGGTACAATACCAGGCCTGTCTGCTTCATGCAGCTTGGGAAATTAAGGGTCTAAATCCTGCTGGCTTCATCTCCCTGTAGTGCTGCTACTTCAAACTCAGGATGACATTCTCATTCCCCTCCTAAAACAAAACAAGACACCCCAAAAATCCAGCCACACCATTCATTTTCTCTCCAACAGACTGTCTCACCAATGGTCTAACTGCTCCCCTGGCACTTTCCTCTGTCTCCAGGTGTACATCTGTGGTGGGTTTGATGATGATCAGTGCCTGAGCTCACCTAAAGTGTTTGACCCTGCCACAAACCAGCGGTCCCTGATCGCCCCAATGAGCAGCAGGAGGAGTGGGGTTGGGGTGATGGTGTACTGGAACCAGGTGTACGCGGTAAGGGCCACCACCAACCCACACTGCAGGCTTTTGCATGGCTGCAGTTCCCACAACACCAGGCTGGTCATGTGTTTATGTGAGGTTTAGGGAAGTCAGAACCAGAACAGTTGGTGGACTTACCAAGAATGTTATCACCTATCACACGCTTTTCGATAAGAAAAAGATGTGGGCAATGTTTAAGCAGCTGCAGCAAACAACTTATCTTCTGCTACTACCAACAGCACACAGCAGGGCTTGGGCCTGTTCATTCATCCTCTGCGTGGAGGCTCAAGGGTCCAACTGCCAGCAATCCCAGCAGAGAATGGTTTGGGAAGAGCACAGAGAGGGCTAAGAGCTATTTGCATGCACAACTTGACACTGACACCCTCAGGAATGTCTCTTTTCCAGTCCCCTATAAACCTCATTCAAGAGATGCAAATGGAATGGCACTCCCTGTCCTGTGAGACATCAAGAGGGAGAATAAAGTCTTCCTTGAAGACCAGAGAATAATTTGCAGTGTGGTTGGTTGGGGTTGTTTTTCCCCTTGTAAACATCCTGGTTTAGCCTAAGAAAGGGCACCTTTTATCACATTTCAATGAAAGCTGCTGGAAGAAAAGGAGCAATGAAAACTCTGAAGGAGTGCAACTGCAAATTGGAGCAATACAGTGACATGGACACAATACCCAAAAGGAGGGTCCCATTTACAGCCTGAAGGATTCAATCCCAGCTAAATGAAGTGCCATTAAGAGCAGCACATCAAGGGAGCTGAACAGGAGGTTTCTGTGTATTCCCCAGCCATGCAGTCTGGGATTCTGGAGTGTCATCCAGGCTGGTAACTGTTTGCTTGGCCCACCAGAGAAACAAGGGAAATCATTAGGCAAATGTGTTGGTGCAGTTTGGATTTAACAGGAGCAATTTGGCTTTGTCACCAGGTAAACAGCTCTTGCCTGACAGACACAAAAATCAGGGCTTTAGTGCTTCAGGATAGCTCAGGTGAGAGGTGCTTCTGCCCAGTGGGTTTATTGGCTGACAGTGGGAGGTAGCCATTTCAGAAGGTGTTGGTGCTCAGGAGGGTGCAGACCAACTACTAACGTGTTCCAGTAGTCCCCAGGAAATCTGGGAGAGACAAAGCTCAGGGCTTGCATCCTGCTTAAAACACTAGAAGCAACAGCAGACCCCACACGTCCTGCCCCTTTCCAGCTGTGGCTGCAGTGCAGCAGTTCGGATGCTTTGGTTCCTTTGGGATACTCTTTCCCAACTCTGCCATCACCCAAAGGTGTTTTGCACTAAGACAGATGAGCTGCTTTACCTCTCAGTGCTGAGGCTGTAACAGGCTTCCAGGTTCCCAGTGTTGTGAACCAGCAGAGTCTTCTGGGTGCTGTGGTTGACTGGACACGACGAGAAGTCCAGCTGGTCAGGGAAGTCCAAGACTGGGCAGGCACCAATGGCCCGGATTGGCACAGAGACCTTTTCCCTTTCACTGCTGCAGACAAGCTGGTGGAAATGATCCTGCAGGAAAAGTAACTGGCACAGCATTGAGGGCACTGAGTGCCATCCTCATGGCAGAAGAAAAAGTGCTGTTTTCTATGACCCTTTGTGGGCATGAATTGACCTCTTCCACCCCAAAAACGACCACTAATTCATACTAATAAAGGCTGGAGAACAGAGCATGTGAAAAAGCATCATTTTTGCTCCATTCCAATGGGAAAGAATAAAGCTCTCTGGATCATCTTTTTGTTCCTCTACTATTTTCCATATTTAAATCCCTTCCACTGAGCCTAAAGATGGCTAAACATCAACAGTCTTCCCTGTCATTTCCCTACTGTTCCATCTGCCTCTTCCCCCGTGAACATTCAAGAATAGGCATGGAGGGAAAGCACAGCCCTCTAGGCCCAGTTGCAGGGCCTGGCAGCACCACACCGTGCCAAGGTGCGACCAGCTCCAGGCTGCCTGCCCCCAGCCCAGAGCCGACCTCACAGCACGGGCCGGGCTATAACCAGTGTGCAACAAACACCCTGGCTTTAGAGAGAACATCCCTCCAAACTCACCTTGCTCCCCTCAGGGGTGAAAAGGATGTTTATAGTACAAAATGAGCCTGGTGGGATCTGATGGCACACACCATTGGGGCCGACCAACTTGAAATAAGGTGAGCTGTCCATGGTGACCTTCGCCAACTGAGTAACCTGCAGGAAAGACACAAAATGGTGATTGTGCCACTTGTGGAAACAGGAGGAGACCTGGGTGTGCCCTGGTGACAGCCTTCCTTGACCATTTTCCCAAAGGACTTTCAGCTCTGGAGGTACAAACACAGGCTACAAAAGGGTGAACTTGGATCCCTCTGCCTGGGCAAAGCAGTTCGGCCAGAGGCAGTAGGGTAGTGCCTCCTGGGAAGGAAGGTCAGGCACCAGCAGTATGGAGATAGAACACCTGAACCAAGTCATCCTCATTTCAACAAGCCCAGAGAATCTGCCTGCTTCTGCCTGCACACAGCCATGCAGCCCTGTTCCAGAGGGAGAATGTGCTACCTGAAGGCAAACCAGCACATTGTCCTGGGGGAAGGAAGAAATTCCCTTCTAACAGACTGAGGTGGAGTGGGGAAGTCCAGCTGTGGGGAGACAGTCCTATGGGCACACCAGCAAGAGGAGACCAGACACTTGGCCTTCCTGGGAAACTGAAGAGAAAAGGAGGAACACAGCAAGACAAAGAGACAAGCCCTGACACAATGAGATGGCAAAGAGAATTGAAATGGGCTATAAAGAAGCAAGGGAGAAGCACAAGACACTCCCAGGAAAGGCTGGTGCAGAAGATGGGAGCAGTCAACTTGCCAGAGTGATGGAAAGCCAGACGGCCCTGCAGGCTGTGCCTGTCAACTCTGGGCTTGAAAGGTTATTTTCTGCCTGGAGAAACATGAGCAGTACTGACTGACAGTGTGGTTTCATTATTAAAAGCCAGTCTCAGCTCTCCAGGGGCTCTTGCTGCCTGGTGATTGTGGTCACGTAGCTGGCAGTGCAGGCAAGCCAGACTGCTGGGCATTCCTGCAGCCACCCTGCTGCCAGTTTCTGCCCTTAGGGGAACACAGGCACAGGGACAGCAAACAGGCATTTGTTAGCACATGGGTATCAACCGCTGAGCACCAAATCCCATCTCACAACCTCTAAACCAGGTGATTTGGACTCCCTGCTGTCTATTGCCACCAGCTTGCTCTTGGCACAAGAGTCATTTGAGAAACTGTTTCCTTGACTGAAATTCAAAAGGTCTCAGTTTTCCTCTTTTAGTGCAACACAATTGCTGACATTTTTCAACTTCCTCCTTCTCAGCTTTCATGGGCAATTGCAAAACAATCACACTTTGTTCAAGTGAAGGTGGAAACCCTCAAGAGCACATTGCTCTGGATGTCAGATACCACCAAGGCACGGTCAAAATCAGGGGAGAATCCTCAGCACAAGAAAATTCCCACCATCTTGCAAATCCAAGGTGGCGAATCTGGATGGGCCACAGCTGATACTTGCTCTGCTGTAAACCATGAGGGTTACACCACTCTCCTCTTCTTCTAGCACAGTGTTAAAGCGTCACATCCCAGCACTTACTTGTCTCTATTGCTCAGAAGCAGGGGCGTTTCACAGGCTTTGCCAAGGACATAGTTCTGAAACACCAGCTCGGATGGGACAGGCTCAAGCAAGGTCTTGTTCCGGTCAGGTGATGAGAACTGGAGAGGCAAGAGAGAGCAGGGAGAGGTTCAGCTGCTGGGAGGAAGGTTCGTGAAGGACTCTCCTCTGTTGATCCCCAGTGAAGGACAGGCTCTTGGTGACTAGGTCTGCCCAGCTGCCACTGGGGGAACAGTAGCTCACCCACCTCTGCTCTGAGCTGATCAAAAGCTGCTGGACCACACTGAGAAGGCTCAAGCTGAGCAGCTCTTTTGGCAGGAGTTTCTCCAGCTTTCCTTCTCCAAAATGCCAGGCAGCGCTTACCTCCAGCACAGCCCTGTGCTAATGGGGTCTCAGAGCTCTGGGCACTCACTGAGCACTCAAGCAGTAAGTGAAACTCAAGAATTTACATCAGACTCCATAGGAAACAATCTTTGGATGACCTTTACTCTGAGGCAGGGAGACTGAGGCCCACACAACTCCAGACTCTAGAGCTTAGACACCAGTAAGAAGAGAACAGCACCAGAGAAGGTTAAGGGCAAAAAGAAAGTACCACAGCAGATAGGAATAGGACAAATGAGGTGAGTGCTGCATGAGGATAAGGTTCAGCCCTTTTCTCAGCAGTGCTGGGCAACTGGAGTTGTGTTAGATTGGGAGTAATTACCTCAGGCCCTCAGCCTCCAAAGGCCAGCACTGCCACTGTGCAGGGAATCCTATGACCCCCAGCATTTGTCAGTGACAACACCAAAGCAAGAGGTGGCTCTTTCAGTGGGACAATGGAAAATGGCAAACTCGTGCCCTTGTGTCCTGCCCCAGCCTTCCCCTGCTATCGTGCCTTCTCCATGGTAGCTAAACTCCAGCAAACGCCACCAGCTTCAGCAGAAATTATTTGTGTTGGTTTAGCACAGATCAGGACTCCAGCATCTCACCAGGAGAAAACGTTTTGCCTTTGCCCCAGCAGAAGGAACTCCACCACCAGCAGCAGTTTGCAACGACGACAGGACCTGGACACTGAGGGGTTTCAATAATCTGGAGGCAAGGCACGCAGCCTCTTCAAGTGTCACATCAAACAGCAAGGAAAAGGGCAGGAAAAGGCTACCTTGTACCTGGAGTTCTCACTTGTGCCCAGGGGCCAGAGAATCTTGGGCAGTTTTGTCTCCTGAGGGCTGTCCGGCTTCTTCCTGAGCCTGAGACCCACCTCCCTGAAGTCAAAGATGGTCAGCTGGAAGGCAAAAAAACCAGCAAGAGCCTCAGAAATGCCCTTGTTCAGAAAGGCTTTTCTTGTTCAAGTGGTTCTGATGAATCATTTGTGATCACAGCCACCAGGACAGTCCTGGAAGTTGCCTGCTGAAATGTATGTTTCAGCATCAGAAAATTAATGGTACAGAGCAGAACACACTTGCTCGAACCAGGCGGCTCTGCCTCATTAGCTTCTCCTTGATTCAATGTGACATGTATGGGGACTTCTGCTCTTAGGGCATTTGCGTCCTCTTTACTTTCACTGGATTGAGCCAGTGACCTTTGCAGAGAGTGGCAAACTGCCCTAACTCCATCCCTGCCCAAGGCTCACAACCCCCTGTGTGTGAAGATCTCAGTGCTGGCTGAGTGGGAGGGAAGCAGAAAAGCGGCGTTGTGCCAAGACCGAGGTGCAGAGCAATAGGTCCATAGTTCTCTCTTTGCAATTAGCACGGGTTTTCTCTCTGTCTGGCCTCACAGTCCCATCCCTAGAAGAATATAGAGAGATGTCCTTGACAGAGCCTCAGCACTGGGTCACCTTCAGTCAAGTGAGCTCCAGGCAGCAAAGGGGATGTTTGTGGGTGGGAAGGAGGACTTGCCCCAATTCCACTGCTGCCTGCAGGGCTGGATCTGTGCTCCACACAGGAGATGAGACAGAACAACTGGTTAGGAACCTGTTCCGGGGGGACCAGCCACCTCTCTCAAGGCTTCAGGCAGCGTTTGAGCTGCCCACCACGTGCCCAGGTGCCTGGAGGGCAGGTGTGGTCAGAGAAGCACAGTGACTGTGCCAACCTGACAGAAGGAATTCCTGCGCTTTACATTTGTTTAACTTGGCTCCAGTGGCACAGCCAGGCAAGACTCTGGACTGTCCCCGACACAGCCCCTGCCAACAGTAGCATGGCCCTAAGAGCTGGGGAGGGGGTCTGTAGCTTCACGGTGCTGCTGGACAGCAGGAGGGGCTGGGAGAAGAGGGACACGGGAGGAGCTTCCAGCCTTAACACAGCTCCTGGCCACAGCAGGTACTTACACGCTTGGGCTTCTCAGGGTCTTTCGGCCTTAGAGGACGAGCCAGCACCTCTCTCTTCGGGAATCCAGAATCCATTCTGAAGGATGTTGTGGGTGGATAAGTCGTGACAGTGACCGTGTCTCAGCTCACCTGGAAGAAGCAACAATGGAATGCTGAAAATCCAGAATCCCATTCCTGGCAGACCCAAAAGATACAGTGGTGCTGCAAATTTTATATTATTTGAAAGGAGCTAAGTGCTTGTTTGGTATAAGTAAGCCAGAATTGTTAGGCTGGAAGTTGGACTTTATTTGAACTATATGGCTATGTTGTGTAATTCAAATACGGATCAGAGTGAAACCTGGAGCTCACATTCTGAACATTAATAATAGTTACAAGAGACAAAGCTGTAGCTTAAATATTACTTGAAAATTATTAGCTAGAGTGGACAGCCCATAGCTGGTGGTATAGGAACTGTAACAACCTCCTCTTCTGCAGGCCAACCAAGCCCAACTCCCTCAGCCACTCCTCACAGGACTTACCTCTAGACTCTGCATCAGCTGTGTTCCCCCTCCCTGGACCAAGTCCAGGGAAGGAGAATCTTTACTGCAGTGAAGGTCTCAGAACCAGATACAGTACTTTTACCTGTTGAGAAATGCAAATGGATTTGATGTGATTATTTCACTGAACTCAAGGGCAACTTTTGATAGCTATCTTTGTATACATAAATATAGATGTTCCCATCTCTGTGCCTGCGTGTGTGTGAATTGATCATGGTCTATGTAGTAAGCAGCAGAGTGAACCTTGCCATCAAACTCTGCTAGGTCACTGAGGAGACACCATTAAAGGGACGTGAGCCATTAGAAACACAACATATGGGGGAGCAGGACCACGTCAGCCTTTATCCTAGTGGCAGTTCTTCTCCAGCATCCTTATCCTACAAGAAGCTA